CTTATTTCCAGTTTTGTATACCTATTTAAACTTTATGTAAGTTATTTGTTATTTTATATTAGGCGTAGCCTGCCCTATAGCATGCTGTATTTTTATTTGTTTTGTTTATTTGTTTATCTTTTTGTCTGTTTTATATATACGCTAAAGTGAAGTCGTGGCCTAATGGTTAGAGAGTCAGACTCGTAACCCAAAGGTTGCGGGTTCGAGTCTCGTACCGGCAGGGATTGTAGGTGGGGGGAGTGAATGTACAGCGCTCTCTTCCACCTTCAATACCACGACTGAGGTGCCCTTGAGTCTACATTAATAATATAATGAAATTCGATATGAATTTCCCACATTTCTGTCCCAATACCATGGTGTGGTTAGTGTTACTGCAGTAAATCTGTGGTATCACTTTCAAAGTGAGTTTGACGTTGTATTTTGTTGTTGCATTCAAGCAATTGATGCCGAATTGACGCTGAGCGCACAGCGCTTTTAAGCTATTTAAAAGGGAAGGAAAGCGAGGAAAAGAGGGAAAATTCAAACAAACTAAAAACTAACAATTCCTTTACTCCGAATTGCCACTATTTGAAAGTGAAAGTAAAATGCGCACGCCTCTTTTACAAGCTATTTAAAAGCGAAGGAAACCGAGGAAAATAGGGAACGCCCCCGCGGTGATACCGGTATCGATTATACAGAAATACTTTGACGACAGACTTTACTCAGGCTTTTCAGAACAACATTTCAGATGCTGTGACCGAGATCGGTCCGCTGCTAGTCGAGTTATCCCGTCACATCGTGCAGTCACATGATCTTTTTGATGCGCATGGTGGAATTTATTTGGTAAATGTGTTTACATTATAGTTTATGCGCATTTTTTCTTATCGGATAAAAAGTTTATCATACTCAATTGTTTGCATAAGTTTTTTATGCACATTTTGGATGGAAGCATGACTAGTGTTTATTTCTATTCATCTGCATGCTCTTCGTTATTTATTATGTCGGGAAAACAACAACAGCAGCTTCTTATTATTTTATTATTGATACTTTGCACCAGTTTCCCAGGAAGTGACGTGTGTGTGTGTGTGTGTGTGTGTGTGTGTGTGTGTGTG